AAGAAATAAGAAACGTGCGCTCCTAGCGGATTGGGATATTCTTCCTAAATCCAACGCCATGTCAATCGACCAAATCGGATGAATAGGTGCGTCGCAAAGTGAAATTTGGAAAAAAATATGTTACCCTCCCCCATGCGGCGCCGCCTCCACCCCCGCCGCTAACACGTGGGGTCGCCGCCTGCAAGGGGCCTTTAGCGAGCACACACTCGGGCGGTTCTCTTGGGGCCCGATTGGGGTGCGTCGTCGCGCTTTGCAACCGAGAGGTCCTAGGGAAGGAGTCCCGACGGTAGCAAGATATCAGACATTGGCCAGACAGCTAGGTTGAATTCAGTCGCGGGAGAGGAGTTATAGCGGCCGGCTGCCCTCATCGGGAGGTTTCCATGGTTTCGCCGATCAACACCAGGAGAATGCCGGTGTAATACACTAACAAACGGGCCACGGACTGCGCGCTATCTTTCCTTCCTCTGCCTTGTTCTATCCTCGCCCATTACACGCACACGTATACTATCTCGCACTACACACATGCCGGGAGACCCGTCAGGAGCTAAGAGCTTGTCCCGGCTGAGGCGGAGCCCCGCTGGTGGGAGATACCTGGATATAAAAACCCCGCTAACCGACGGTAGGTCGCGCCGGATCTCCAATACAGCGTAGAATGATCACCACCACCTCCCGAGGAAAAAGCATGCATTTCACTTACGTAATTTATGACCTTGGTAGTCGACGTGCCCGGAATCATTAAACAAACAAAAAGACTAACCCCTTTCTTGCATACATACTTTTTTTGACCTACACTACCACATACGTCGGGGAACCTGTCGCGGGTTAAGAGCTTGCCCAGCTGTGGCGGTGCTCCGCCGGTGGGAGATGCCTGGTTGGGGAAAACCTCGCATGTCGGCGCTCGATCTCTCCATCCCGCGGCAGAGCATCACCGCCCCCTTCCACAATAAGAAACATGCACTACTCTTATGGGACTCATAACCCTAGTAGCATGCGCGCGTTCAAACCCTAATCAATCGGTTTAACTTGTGCTTGCGTCAAATCGCAAACCTACCAAACATCGCACTGCAAGTCGAGTGCCCAACCAATTAGAAACGAAATGCTACTTGTGTAACTTCCTTATGTCTAGGGGCGGATTTTGATGACCTAAAATTATCAAGAATGTTGCTTCCTGTGCGGATATTATCTTTCCACTTACAGTCTCGTATCTAGCTTCATTGGCGAGTTAACTCTACTGTATTCCGTGAATTTTACATTTATTACATTTACATTTACTCCAACTGCATATTAATTATTATTATTATTATTATTATTATTATTATTATTAGGGACGACTTTTTATGATTTAAAACATTGCGAAAATTATCAATAAAATGCTCTTCAATGTTTTTAAAATGTCCTAAAAGCAAAGAATAATTATGTAGAAAATTTGATCAAACCCAGTTCATTCGAGAAGTTTTAAGTCAGCGTGATTAGTCACATAGCTTTCTCAAGAGTAAAAAGCTTTTGTATTATTTTTGTGAGTATAAAACAAAGCAAAAAGCAAACTGTCAAGAACATTGTATAATTACTTCAAATGCTGTTTTAAAGGAAGTATTGTGTATTATAGACATGCTGTTGTTCCAATAGCACGTCTAAAATACTGATTAAATCTTTATTCCAAATTTGTTTCACACGTCAATTTCAATTTTCTTTATTTTAATTTTAAATGCTATAAATTCATTGGAGTCATTTTTAATTTTTCAAACAAATAAACACGTTTCGTTAAAAGCTTCCCCTGTCAATATGGAAAAGGAAAGAAAGGGAAGATGGTGGAATTTAACATGCGAGAGTTCTAGCACAGGTGCGCTAGTAATATTTGAAGCAAGTACCATTAAAATATTCAAATCGATGAAATCAGAAAAAACATTAAAAATGACGGGAAAAGGTATAAAATGACTTATTAGTCGAAATAAACAAAAGAATGTTAAAAATTACGTCTAAAAATGGGTCATTTCCTTTTGTCATAACATATAATGTATGTCTATACTAAACGGCATTTTTCTAAACTGAAAAGAAGAAAATAACTTTTTATTTAAATCCTCCCCTACTTATGGGAATTCCCATTACATGTCTATTGGAAAATAATTATCAACTGTGACTCCCTTACATACCCCAAAGATTCATATTGCTTATCCCGAGACACTGTTTAATTAATGAAACCCCTGCCGCAAAGCAACTTTTTAAACACGAGTGTTGTGCAGTGTAGTCTATTCACGGGATTGTGTTCAGTCACGTCAACCTCACGTGTCTCCATTTGTATTTGCAGAGAGAGAGAGAGAGAGAGAATGAGAGAGAAAATGAGAGAGAAAGAGAGAGGGGGAAGAGAAAAGAGAGGAAGGATGGAATATTCTTGACATACGTGTCCTTCATTCGAAAACTTCTCCCCAATCACATTGATACGCGCAGTCCACCCCACCAAGTAATTCTCACGTTAATAATAATAATAATAATAATAATAATAATAATAATAATAATAATAATAATAATAATTTAATTTTACGTATGGTAATTGAGGTGGGTGGGGGAGTCTTGTCGCACGCGCTACGCAAATAGGGGGGGGGGCGCTGACGCTTGTGCCGGGACGCAGGTGCTGGCGCTGCGGTCTGCGGAGAAGGTGCTCATCCAGACGGCGGACCACGTGATGGACACGAAGCGCGGCGTGGAGTACGGCGTGCACCAGATCCTGCTGGAGACCGGCGAGGTGGTGAAGGCGCAGGCCAAGCTGCTCAACGCCACGCTGCACCAGCGCTTCGACGGCATCTCGGGCACCATCCTCGAGCACCAGACCGGCGCGCTCACCAACCTCAGCTCCAAGATCGAGGCCGAGATCAGCCAGGTGGGCGCCTCCGCGAACCCAGCTTTCTTGCTGCTCCAGCGCAGCGCTTCATTCTTTTCATTCACTCATTCCTTTAGCAATTCAGCTTTCTCTGCATGAAGCCGTTGCTGCTTCGGCGCTGCCCTTCATTCTTTTCATCCACTCGGTTACTCATTCGGCTTTTCCTAGGTGTTTTCGTGGCTGCTTCAGCTCTGCCCTTCAGTCTTTTCATTCATACGTTTCGCGTTTCAGCTCTCTCTACGTGTGCCCGTGGCTTATCTAGTTCTGCCATTTATTCTGTTCATTCATTCGTTTACTTATTAAGCTTTCTCTACTGGTGCCTATCGCTGCTTCAGCTTTGTCATTCATTATTTTTATTCACACGTTTACTTATTCATTTTTTTCTACGTGACTCCATCGCTGCTCCTGTTCTACCATTCGTTCTTTTCATTCCTTCGGTTGATTCGGCTTTCTCTATGCGTGTTCGTCGCTTCTTCATTTTTGTCATTCATTCGATTATTTATACATCTTGCCCGGCGCTGCTTCAGCTATGCCATTCACTCTTGCATTCACTTATTCAGCTTTCTCTACGAGTGTCCGGCGCTGTTCCTACTCTGCCATTCATTCGTTCACTGATCCAGCGTTTTCTATGGCTTGCCCGTCGCTGCCTCGGCTCTACCATTCGTTCTTTTCATTCATTTGTTATTCCATTTAATATTTAGAAAGTGGTCAGGTTCTTCCATTGGAAAGGCCACTCAATATCAATAACTGACGCGAAAATATTTCCAAAAATTCTGTAAATGTTACGTTATTGCGAAGTCAATAATACTATTTTTTGCGTTTTCTTTAAATATAAAATAGGGGAAAAGAAATAAATTGTCTTCGTTCTACAAAATCGTTCAGAAGGAGTGGCGCAGCTGCGTTCACTTGCATTAGGACTCATTTTGTTTCGTGTCCACGTAGGCTTCCGCGGCTCCAGTTCATGACTTCTAGGCTGTCCGGGTGACGCCGCGTCGTTGGCAAAGAGGCCGTAGTAACCAGTTCAGAGCAGAGACCACCCTCACTACCCTGAAGAAGCCTGCGATAAGACAGGCGAATCGTCGGCCTCTCTGCCAACGACGGGCGTCATCCGGACAGCCAAAAAGTCAATTTATTTTTCGTTCAAGACGTATAAAAATGTATTTACTTCAAATTCAAAGAACTCGCTATAAGTTATTTCTGTTGTATGGGGAGATAAATTCTATTTCTCATGATGAACGGCAAAGACATTAATGTGCGCGCATTAATAAGGGCTTACGAATTTGGAACATTATTTGACTCACTGCGCTTCGCCCTTTTTGCTTCCGTGCCGCGCAGAACAGAGCGCTTACATGTGTGTGTGTGTGTGTGTGCGTGCAGGTGTGGCGGCAGATCGGCATCATGTACCAAGAACTGTCGGCGTCCACGACAGCGCTGGACCGACTCCAGGCACAGACGGAGAGCTACGTCAACGGCAGCGCACTTGCCATGGACTCCATGGAGGGCAAGGTAGGGGCTTCATGTTAATTCCTAGAGGGCAAGGTAGGGGCTACAAATTAAGCCTTAGGGTGGCAAGGTAGGGGTTACAAATTTATCCTTGGCGAGTAAGGTAGGTGCTACAAATGAATAACTAGAGAGCAAGGTAGGGGAAATAAATCACTTCTTGAACAGCAAGGTAAGAGATACAAATTTATCCTTAGAGGGCAAGATAGGGGTTACAAATCACTCTTTCGAGGGAAATGAATGATCGACAAATCACTCCTTGGAAGGCAATGTTGGGGCTAATAATCATATCTTAGACAGACAGTACGACAGGGGCTAAAAATCAATCCTCGGAGGGTAAGGTAGGGGTTACAAATCAGTCTTGGGGGGCACGATTCGAGCTAGAAATGTAGCAATGAGTTAAAACATTTTGTAAGCATACCTGTTTTGAGAGCATAAATGTTCTGACACCATAAACGTTTTGCCAACATAACCGTTTTGTTCAATAACCGTTTTGACAGAATATCTGTTTTGCTAACTTAACCGTTTTGCCGGCATAACCATTTCGACAGCATATTCGTTTTAGTTAACCATTTCGCCAACATAACCGTTTGGTGAAGTAGCCGCGTGCACAAATGTGTTGCAGGTGGGCGCGATCCGCGAGCGCATGAACGAAGTGGACGAGAACCTCAACTACCTGTTGGGCAAGCTGTCGCTGTTCAGCTCGGAGTTCGGGCAGGTGCGCACGGGGCTGGGCGAGGCGCTCGACTCCATACGCACCACCTTCCAGGAGGCGCAGAACGCCATCCGCGACGCCGGGCCCGGCCCCAACCCCGTCGCCTACGACATCCCGCCCGAGTAGGCGCCGCGTCAACACATGGCGCGTTCCTTCCACTTCTGTTCAAGGACATCCGTACCTACAGGTCGCTGCCACTTCGTTAACAAACACGGCATGCCGTCTTGACATGGCCGCGTTCCTTCCACTTCTGTTCAAGGACATCCGTACCTACAGTCGGCTGCACTTTCGTTAACAAACACGGCATGCCGTCTTGACATGCGCGCGTTCCTTTCCACTTCTGTTCAAGGAACATCCGTACCTCAGGTCGCTGCACTTTCGTTACAAACACGGCATGCCGTCTTGACAGGCGCGTTTTCCTTCCACTTCTGGTTCCAAGGACATCCGGACCTACAGCGTCGCTGCACTTTCTTAAAAACACGGCATGCCGTCTTGACAGGGCGCGTTCCTTCCACTTCTGTTCAAGGACATCCGTACCATACAGGTCGCTGCAACTTATCGTTAACAATACACGCCATGCCGTCTTGAATGGCGCGTTCCTCCACTTCTGTTTCAAGACATCCGTACCTACAGGTCTGCTGCACTTTCGTTAACAAACACGGGCATGCCTGGGTTGACATTGCGCGTCCTCCACGGTTCTGGTTCAAGGACACCGTACCCTACATTTTCGCTGCACTTTCGTTAACAAACACGGCATGCCGTCTGACATTGGCGCGTTCTTTCCACCTCTGTTCAAGGACATCCGTACCTACAGGTCAGCGGCACTTTCGGTAACAAACACGGCATGCCGTCTTGACATGCGCGCGGTCCTTCCAACTTCTGTTCAAGGGAAATTCGCGTACCTACAGGGGCCGCGCCACTTTCTGTTAACAAACACCGGCATGCCGTCTTGACATGGCGCGTTCCTTCCACTTCTGTTCAAGGACATCCGTACCTACAGGTCACTGCACTTTCGTTATCAAACACGGCATGCCGTGTTGAAAAGGCGCGTTCCTTCCACTTCTGTTCAAGAGTGTCCTTACCTACAAGTTGCTGCACTTTCGTTAACAATACACGGCATCTCGTATTGAAATGGCGCGTTCCTTCCTTTTATGTTCAAGGGTGACCGTACCTACAAGACCTTGTATTTCCATTAACAATTCAACACGGCCTGCTGCGTTGAAATGACACGTTCTTTCCACTTCTGTTCAACAGTGTCCGTACCTAAATGCAGCTGCATTTTCATTAATTATACAACACGGCATGCTGTATTGGGGTGGCATTATACGTCACCTAAGACTTCCCGCCCGAGTAGAATGCACTTGGACATTAACCCTTTAACGCTGCTCTAGATGGATGGAGGCATTGATATGGCGCGCTTTTTCACATCTACTCGTGAGTGTCCGTACCTAGACGCCATTGCGTTTTCATAAACACTTCGTCGCGGCGTTCCGTCTTGAGAAGGAATTTTCCTTTCATTTCTTTTCGCGGGTCTCCAAACCGAGACATCACATCTTAATAATCGTCTTTCCCCAGAAAAAAGGAATTCAATATTAACCTTTCGACTCGAAATTCCATCTGAAGACATGTTCCCTTCCCGCGTATTCCTTGCCTCCGTTCCCACACGTCACGTGATTTGCCCTTGGAAAAGGTTTGGATTTGCCCTGCGGAAAGCCACGTGTAGACGAAGAGGTTTCCCTCCACCCGCGTTGGAATGCCTCCGTGCCCAACTAGGCTCAGCTTTGAAGGGTTGACATTTGCATTCATTGATGCGAGAAATATGTTGGAATTGTTGCATACACACTTAATTCAATTCTGTAACCGCAGAGTTACAACTTGCGAAAGATGTTCCATCGACCGACGCCAATAAACAAAATATGACGCTTGTCTCGTTGTGACAGTATTGCATTCAATGAGCGATAAGCAGAATGGCTTTATTTTTAAATACCGGTATGAGGTAAGCATTGAATATGGTTTAAGTAGTTTATGTTCCGTCTTTATAGTTGGTCACAAGAAAAACTAATGTCAAATAAAAAACGGCGGTGTTTGAAAAAACTTTTGATTGTTGCCATACCTATTTCCTGTGTTGATAGTTACTAACATGTGTCTCCTGATTGACCAATGGAATGAAACTTTGTCGGCTCATTTAGCTCCTGCTTCTGCATTTGCTGTCTGAATAGTCGCTCAGAAAGAAAGCACACCAGTAATATCATGATTGCTATGGCGTTTATGAACTCTTTTACAAGCAATTGCAGTCATTTGTAGTGAGTATAACACATTTTATACGATTGTTTTTGGCAGCATTACGACATCCCTCCGAGCCGGCATTTGCCAGGAACGCGACGGCATAGTCCGCCCCGCCCGTCTTCGAACCCGCAACCTCCAGTCGGTTCGCAAAGCTCTCCCGGCACTCGCTGCCTTGATTCCCCCGGTAAGAGCCGGCGGCCAATAGCAGACAGCCACGGGGGCTGCTTACCTCTCTTTCGGTAGCAACAGCAGCCATTCGCGAACAATATATTGTCTGTTCATTCACGATTTGTCACGTTACATAACGTCACACCACGCCACGCCACATCACATCACGTCACGTCACGTCACGCCTCTACTGTTTTTAAAATCATCACAACATGTTGCTGTCCATGTCAGTTACTACCGTGACGTTTCTCCCATACACGAATTATTGCGGTGAAAGCTGTCCAAGTAGTGAAGGCCACACTTTTCGGTAACTGTAACCTCATTTCAATATGAAGTCATTGGTGCGGTAACTATTGGTCTCGTTGCGGTGTTATTGTTCTTGATTCCGTTTCCTGCTCTAGACATCGGCAACAGGCATGATCACTACCTGGGAGTTTTAGTCGAAAATCACAATCTTATCTTATTACTGGGGCATTACTCACTCTCATTATTTCTGGTAATTAACACTTAATTTTATACTCTCAAAGTCGAATTTATTGTAACCAACATGATTTAATGAATGCTTTAGAAATAGTCAAATGCGCGCAGGTGCGTATTTAAATCTCTCGTCAATAATATATATATTAAGTATAAATATAAAATAATTATTATAAATATTTTTTCTTAATTTAATAAACTAATTAAATTATTTTAAATATATTATATATAACTTATATATATAGTATATTATATTATAATATATAATCACATAATTCACATGGCCCAATATCACACATCATTATATTTCGTGAATACGGTATAAACACGTTAGAAGAGGTCTCAATTTATAGTTTTATGCATATACTACACAAATAGTCCATTGATGCCTATATTCTGTGAAGAAATGAATCAAAAGAAAACATATTTTAATTCAAATACGTTTTGAGTCGACGCAATACCGAGCAACTGCGTTCATTTCTGAAATTTGACGTTTGTGGAATATTTCTCTCCCCCCCAAATCCCGACCGGGTATTTTTATCCTCTCGCGATTTTTAGTGTGGATATAGCTACCCATCATACCCACATTATCTGCCGGTCCTGGCGATGTACAAAAACATCGGCGATTTGTTATCGACACGGCCCTGTGCGGTGTACTGCCACGCATTTGGGGCAGGAGAGCTGAGCTTGTCTCATTGGAAGCTTCCGCTCGCCCCTCCGGCAGCTGCTGGTGGCCGACCACGCCCACGCCGACCGTCGGCGCCACTGGCGACCGCGCGGATTCGGCATTCAGCTCAGCCGCATGCGGGATTAGCCGCTTAGCGCAACCGGGCAACCGCAAACGGTCTCTCGCGCGTACACTCGGGGACGGCCTGACTCGTAAGTGGACTCGGCACGTGTGTGGTCATCGCCGGATAAGACCCTTTAGCAAAATTGTCTCGTCACGCCCTCCCAAAAAGTCGTACCGAATTAAATCTCCACAATACATTTATACCTCTTCACCGACAAAGTGCGTAGGAGTATTGCGTGACAAAGGCTAGCAACACCTTTCAAAGCATCATCAAAATTCTTCTCTCTAATTAATTCACGATCCTCATTGAAAGTTCAGTGTCGATTAATATTACTGAAGTCTTTAATTCTAGCAATCATGACTGAAACATGTCCGTTATGGGATGCGCTGCCCTAGCAATCTCCAAAAGTTATCATCCACTTAAGAGATTCTTTTTTTAAGAACAATCTTAAATTTCCCTTGGTTCATTCCAAACATCCGAATGCGCAAACAATTAAATGAACCTCCTTCAAGCTACCACAAAGCACGGATAGCGCAGACTTTTATCAAAATCTTCACCCTTCCCCGTGCGCCTTAATCTTCAGTCTAGGTCACAATGCTGCATACCGACGCGTCCAATCCAGGTATCCCAAACACCGATTCAAACCACTATAATTCCTAAGAATTGTTAATTGAAATAAATTCGAAAAGATCTTCAGTTTAGTACAATATATTCTTCTGAGTAATAAAACTCACCCATTATGGATGGCCATTCTCAAAAGGCAATAAACTGTGTATCAACCTCTTCGAAAGACAAAGTTTGTAGAACAAAAGAGTTTTTCAAATAAATAGAGGTTCCTAATACTTGTTTTGCAAAAGAAATTATATTAGTTTATAGAAACAAAAAATTGTACTGAAGTACTGAAATGCAATGGTCTAAGTTTGATTTATTATCATTTTCATTACATATTCAAAATTTCAATTCCCGTTCAAAACGGAGCTTAATAAATTAAACTTGCTAAGGGTCCCTTCAAATAAAAATTCGGTACTGAAATATCTTACGGTTTCCCTTCCAGATCTCGCGACATTCTTATAAATTCAATTTTTATTTCTTGCTAAATTGGATTTACAATGCTAATAAATATCAGAATTGTTCGCAGGGGGTGAGTCCCAGACCAAATACACAAACATAGTTTCTTCCTACTTCCTAATCCTGATTGTTATCAGAGCATGCAGCAAAGATAATTCAACCCAGCACTGAATTCCCTGGCTTTGGTGATGCACAATCAATACACTATAATTTATCATTCATATTTTCTGCTTGGCCACAATTTAATCGTGCTAGGTCGTAATCTGAAAATGCATGGTCTGAAGTTAATTGTGTTTGGTCTCAATCTGAATGTTCTGTCCCAATTTAAAAGTGAGTGGTCTGAATTTAATTTCTCTCGGTGCCATTCTTAAATTTAAATGCGCCAGAACACAATTTGAAAATGAAGGGCCGCAATTTAATTGCACTTGGTATCAATTTGTGACCAGACTGAAAAGAATTGTGATTTGTCTCAATTTTAAAGTGAATGGTTTCAATTTAATTGTCTTTAACGTGAATGTGACCGTGCTTAGTCTCAATCTAAACCTGCTGTCAATGTGAACGTTTCTGATCTCAATTTGAAACTGCCTCGATTTTATTAGACTTGGCCAGAACCTCACGTTGAAAAGATACCGTAAAACTCATAGGCGTGAGCAGGATATCACTAGAGGAGAAATGATACTGCACTTCTGAATTCCTGAAACAATTAAACTTGTTTTAATTTACTAATAAAATTTTGATTGTACAAGATTTTTGATTCTATATTTGAAAATGTAATTTTAGACAGTAGGATGGATCGACTCCAACTTGGTCGAATTATTTCGGGATAGTGTCTCACACTCTTTTTAATTTTCTTCGCAGTTTTTTGATTTTGAATTTTTTGACACTTTTTAGAAGTTTGTATGTGAGAATGGAAGGTACCTGTCACGGGAGATTCAACATATTTTTTTGCGTGTTTTGCCCCATATTCGTCCGTTGTTATACTCCAAGTACAATATCCGGTTTTTTTTTGTTTTTTTTTTAAGTTTCAGGATTTTTCGCGTATTTCATTCCCCATATTTTAATGAAAAACATTTCATATTATTTAGTAAAGTTAAAACGTTCCTCATAAATAAATTAGAAAATTAATATTAAAAAATGAAAAATAGCGAGTCATCGAGTTCAGCACGTTCAGCACGTCACGTGTTTATTTTTGTAACAAATAAAGCGCC